CAACTGATGTTCTCATGAGAACATCGACGTGCTCATATGAGAATCTATTTGATGTTCTCAAATGAGCACATCGATGTTCCCGAAAGGTGAAAAATGCTCTCATATGGGAACATCGGCGTTCCTAAAGATCTATTATAAGTCGGCCGATGTTCTTATGAGAACATCCGAAATGTTCCCATGTGAGCACATCTATATTCTTATACGAGCACATCGATTTTCAGAAATTTGAAAAGAAGAGTTCTTCTACCGGGGTCGAACCCACAACCGATAGGTTGTGGATCTGACGTTCTTCCCACTAAACTACTCGAATATCTTATTGAAATATATTCTTTTACTTTAATAAGTAGTTATTAGGTAATTTTAAATTGCCATTTTCTCGTGCAATTTATAATACGTTTAGTAATTTTATGAATCTTACAGATAATAAAAGTCTCTCTGTTGCCTACAATATTATAGTTTAGCTATTCAAACCATTTTATTCCAGTGGAAAACTACACCTTCTCAAATGAGAACATCAATGTGCTCATGAGAACATCGATGTTCCCAAAAGAGCACATCCATGTTCTGTGAGAGCATCAGTTGGGCCGTAGTGTTTACTCAATTCCAGGATCTTCAGTTCATTTTATACACAAATAAAATACAGTTGATTTCTATTGTATTTTACTATTGCTTTATTTTTTTATAAAATCTATTTAAACCTGATTTCACTGCAAGTTTGACAGTATTTATTATTGAATTTTTTTTTCCAATTCTGCAGAATTTTTAATGGATGACAGATTAAATAGTTGCTGCACTCTAGACTACTTTTGAGTAAGAAGAACTTAAGTTGTATCTTCTATTTTGGCACCTTTTATTATTAACACGAAATCATGGCAATAGATGACAGATCAATAGAAAATCGAATAGTTGTAGACCTTCGTTGCTTCAACCTCTTAGCCAATCAGATTGCTTAAAAACTCCGCTGACCTAAAAAAAATTTTGCGAGGGTTTCCCCCTGTTTTGATGTGAGGCAAAATTTTAAGCTCCGCCATATAGCAATATAGCTGTTACTATCATCAAATTTCCCTCAGGTGCTAGAGCATGTCTTACTTACACCACCTAGCTTTAAATTCTGGCATTGAGACCCTCAATCATCACTAAAGTAAGTAGCGATAACCAAGTGGAGGCGGCCTATCTACCTCCTAGCCTCGGACAAAGTCTTGTTGAGCTTCAGGGATAGGCACATCCACACAACGTAAAAAAAGGTATGCTTCAAAGAAACATAATAATAAAAAAAAAGAAAAAAGAATATAATACTATACGAGTATAGTAGTATGTAGGCAAAAAAAAGGCACTCACATGAAAGCGAGTCAAAGGAAAAGCATAACAAACAAAACATCAAAGATGTTTAAAAGAGCTTGCTGTTGTTGAAACAAAAATGCATACATGAGCAAGGTGCATGATAATAGTCTGATGCAAAGAAACACAAACACACATAGTTGTATGAGCAACGATAGTATAAGTATGTAATGCAACATAATGACTAATGTTGTTTCATGTGAAACCACAGAGGCAACACAAACAACAATCCACGGCCATATAACAAAGTAATATTACAGCGGCAATACAGATATATAGCAGTGCATCATGCCTGTTGTTCGTACATAGGAAGCAACAACATTGCAAACATCCATTGAGCTGATCATATCACAGCCAACGAAAAAAAAGAAAGCGCAACAAAGAAAACATCATGAATGCATTATCATGAAAAAGGAAGCAATAACAAAAACGTCCATAGAAGCTTCATGTCATTGAGACCAGAAGAAAAAAGATACTTACGACCTACCGCAGCCACAAATAGACTTGAGAATGCAGAGCCACCGGAGATACACCAGAGAACGAGCATACACCACAGATAGTAGACCAAAGGAGACCAGACTAGCGGCAGCAACACCATCAGCAGCACCAGCAGCAACCCCAGTAAGAACACCAGCAAGAACACCAGCAACAGTAACACCAGCAAGAACACCAGCAGCAGCAATACCAGCAGCAATACCAGCAACAATACCAGCAGCAATACCAGCAGCAATACCAGCAGCAATACCAGCAACAATACCAGCAACAATACCAGCAGCAATACCAGCAGCAATACCACCATCAGCAACAACAGCAGCAACAGCAGCATAGAAAACCAAAGAACGGGCGACACCAGAGACCAGACAAAGATTAAAGAAGCAACTGCCAGAGATAGAAATCAAAGAAGCAATCACCAGACAGGGTAAGCCAAAGAAGCAGGCAGTAGAAATAGCAGAGAAGTAACGGCAGCAGCACTCACGTCAAACAGGCAAAAAAATTATCAAAACCTAAAAAAACAAATCCGATTAGTGCTGATTTTACGTATTCAAGTGCTCGCTACTGAATAGTGCCTACTATATTCTACTTCGAAGAAGCAGTATCAAGTACCTTTAACAATGCAAGAACGTGTTATTAGAAGCTATAGTGTTATTTTCAATCAAAAGGGTTCCAAAACCAATATGGTTTGATACTAAACGCGTTTTGCAAAAGGGAGGAAAAACGGGGGAATGGAAAAATGGGAGGGCACCATATTCGACGTCACGGCCAGTAGATTTGCTCTCAGTCTTCTGCCGTGGCAGCCGTAACTGCTGTACTTTAATTTGAAATTGTGCAGTAGGTATTTTCGTGTTCAAATTTGACTCGATCTTACATTCCTTAAACGTTTTCGCTAAATTTGATTATGAAAGTTGTCGTTGCTATACTTTACTTTCTAATGCATTTATATAGAGTCAATGAAGGCACATCGAATGATGCTGATTACATTCACCTTTCAGGCCGAATATAATGAGCAATTGTCAAGAATATGAAAACAGGGTTTTTGCCAATATGTCAGAATTTAGCATATAAAAGTTCCAGAAAAAGAGTTTCCAGTGTTGCATTTCATCATTACAATCAATTTGATCTAATACGTATCATAGAAAAAATCTTCGTTTTTGGGGTGAAAAACGCGATCGTTTGATCTTCAAGAATTTTACCTTGCTAATACTCATGAAAAAATGAGGATTTTTCATGAATTTGCAATGAACAAAAAAATTTTGAAAAAAAGCATCAGTTAGTCAAGCGTGGCTAAGAAGGTACGTTTGGCGCTATTCCAAGCGTCCACAGTGCTTTGTAGCATGAGTTATTCATGCTTCAAAGTGGCTAAGTTTGAACAGAATTTGGTCTAAAAATAGGACAAACTAGGGTTTTCTGCCAAAGAAGTATGTAAATTACAGCTCTGCTTGGTGACATAGATGCTCTGCGTTGTACGGAACACAATTTCTAAATGGTAGACACTTTTATTTTAACTCTGAGGCTCAGGTCTTTCTTTTTGAAATGCACGAATACAGTAATTTTATACCTTGAGCATCACTAATATTATGCAAATTTGAAACTAGCAAATTGCGCGGTTTGAACCCGGTGCTCATCAGGTCAGCAAGACACTTTTGACTGTCGTCCACATTGTAAGTGCCTTATTTAGCCCTAAAACTAAGCCCATCCATGACTTTAAACACTCATCTTTATTAAGGTGAGATGACTGAAAAAACTGGATAGGCTGAGTCGTTGTCAGCACAATGGGGAAGCAAACAACAAAACTTTGTATCAAAGTTAAACGATTAGATATTCATGATACCTACAAATCCTGTGATACAAGATTCGACACCAGGAGACCACAGTGGAATCGTGTTTAAATGGTTCACGGACCTACACTGCCGAAAAGGCAAATGATCCAAAATCAATCGCTCAAACATTATTTTCCACTAGAATATACTGGCGTATGTTGCATATACGCATGCATCTTAGGGTACATTCACTTTCTCCTCAAGCCACTTTTTACAGTGTAGCAACATAGATGATGTTTATCGTATCACATCACATCTATGTTTACAAGTCCAGTCAACTGTGTGTGCACGGTCGCCTCAGGAACTACAATAGATTCAATCTCCTTAATGTCAAGATGTCCAGATCCATCTACACTACATGAAACATATCGACTTAGGTAGCTTCTCAGCAAGCTATACTAACAATCCATAAGGCCCCAGTGGACTGCTATTTATACGTATACTGCAGTGAAATCAGGTTTAAATAGATTTCACAAAAAAAATAAAGCAATAGTAAAATACAATAGAAATTAACTGTATTTTATTTTGTGTATAAAATGAACTGAAGATCCTGGAATTGAGTAAAAAAAGAAGAGTATTTATACATTTGCATCTAGCTTGTAGAATTAGTGATGATAGAGAGCAATAGGTGCTGCTATTGCGATATCTGGCAAATGTTGTTGATGTTTGATTTAAAGTGGTAATCAATGCAAGAGCACTGGCCATAAGGGTCGATTTGAGTAACCTTGATGGGCTTGGGTGAGCTATCGTCATAGCATGTGATTTATCAGAAATAAATTATTTATAAAAAGAGTATGAAATTAATCAGGTAAAGAATATCGTTTATTACATTGGAAATAAGAGGGTTTATATACTATTCGAATTGAGGGATTTGATGTGAGGATAAGGTATTAGATGGGTTGATTTGGGTGATAGGATAATAGATCCAATCTATTATCCTGAACATGCCATTATTCGGATCGTAACTGAATCCTGTTTCATGTCAAAGTTTATGATCTGATGTGACCGGTGCTTGAACTGCTTGTTTCTACGCATTTGGAGATCCGGTTTAGAAAATGATACATCATTACCCCACACCAGCTTGGAGACCCTAAGTCGATAGCGAAACCATAAGATAGCACCTCTTGATCAGTGCTTGTGATGTAAGTGATAAACCGTGAAAAAAAAGAAAAGAAAAAAGAAAAAATAAAGTGTATGTTCCTGAAGCATTGATATAAATTTGCTGCATGATGGAATCATTGATTCGCCAGTAAAAACCTCTATACATTGAAAACCAAATATGCCAATTGGAAAAATACCAATGTACTTTACAAGGGAAAAAAGGCAGAATCTATTTACAAACATCTATAACGATGATGGTCGTCTGTTCTCAATCAACCGCGCATGTCTCTTTGTAGATCTCTCTTCACGCGTTGCAATCTTTCTTTTGTTGATTGATTTAGGTGCTCTTTGCTTCTTACCAGAGCTCTTTTCAGGTGCTCCTACTCTTGCCCAATATTGTTCAATAGGTTTCTTTGAATCAAACAACTCTGGGGTTTCCCATAAATCATAACTAGAATCGTAATCCTTCCAAATAACGAGATATTGATAGTTAGGCGCTTTACCCTTATGTTTGAGGATAGCTTCAACTTCATAACGTTTATCAGCAGGTTCTGGAGGAGGTGGATTCTCGTTGATCAATTTAATGTGAGATGTAGGAACATCTCTTGATAAGAATGTATCGGTTTCATCTTTTAGAATGTAACTGCCATTCTTTGTATAACCATGAATATAGAACACGCCCTCGTATTTAGGGTCAGTTTTGCTGTTCTTGCTTTCTACATTCTTAATCATGACTGAAGCTTCTATGGGGAATGGGTTCTTTAGGATTTTATGCCGCTTCATAAAATAAGCATTGTCAGCTTTCTGTGTTTTGACAATCTGCTCCTTGATTGCAGGTACAAGAATCTTGTCAATTCTCTTGATCTTGTCTTTCAAGGCCTTGGCATTCAATGTTTGTTCTGGAAGACTTATTTCGACCTCAGAATAGTCTTTTAATTCATTAGGTAGTCTGGCAAACATGACGACAAAAGGTTTCATACCGTGTAACCTTGATTTATGTAAATTTAAGCTATAGGCTGTGCCATCAAGATATAAATCCCAATTTTCGGCACACCCATCCAGCATTTTAATGATGATCGCCTTTGAGCTTTTGACCGCGGCTTCACAAGCGCTGTTGCCTAAAGGGCACCACGGAAGTGAAAGCCTTTGCTCTATCTGTGCATTGGCAGCAATGCTCTCCAGTAATTGAGAACTAAACTCCTTACCATTATCATGAGAAAGGATTTTTGGGTAACCAAAAAGACTAAAAATAGAGACAATTTCTTTAGCAACTGTTGTTGCAGTTTTGTTTGGTAAAGCCCGTAACACAATGAATCTTGAGAATAAATCCATTGCTACCAAGATAAAGTTGTTACCCCTAGGAGTAGTAACATCAAGTGTGCCTAGGTCAAAAACCCAATGATCTCCAACAGAATCCGCAGTATGATTCTTTGGTGGATGATATACATGTCTTCCTATGTTAAATACCCTGCATTTGCTACAGTTCTTGACATATCGTTCAATGTCTTTTCTGAGCCCCTTCCAATGCATTTGGTAATCCTCATGTATAACCTGCTCCATAGCAGTAATCCCATAGTGTCCTAATAGGTGAGATTTTTCTAATAGTTCTTGCTTTTGTGCCTCACTTTTAGGTACTTCATAAATATCCAAATGTGATGCATAAATGAACAATTCTCTATTGTCCTTGCTGTCAGAATTTGCAGTTTCTGTGAGTGCACTGCTTACTGTATTACTGTTTGTATTTTCCTTATTAACATTATTCTCCATGTCATTGATTTCGGTACCCTGAGTACTCTGATTGATAGGATGTAGAATAATGTCCTTTGATTTACTACCCTTCTTTTGCTTCTTAGCTTCGTGAAGGTTTTTATTATTTGTAGAATCGATTGGATCCAATGTCCGTTTAATAACAGTAGCTCTTCTAGCGAGAGAACCACACCCCTCCAGCTTCTTTGTCCCAGGTACAAAGATGCGAGAAAGTCGATCTGCTAGAATATTGTCCATACCCATACAATATGTGATATCAAAGTGAAATTCAAAAATTGTATCATAAAAGTTCTCAATCATGCGAGTAAGTTTCTCTTGAGAATGTAGGTACAATAGACCACGATTATCCAAGAATAAATGAAACTTTTCACCCCATAACCATTGGCGAAACTTATTGAAAGCATAAACTACTGCTAAAAGCTCGCGCTTGGATGATCCATAGCGTTGCTCACTAGCTGATAATTTACGGGCAATGAAGCCATTATAGTAAATACGCTTCTTGATACTTGATATAGACAGGCACCAATGCCATAAGCACTAGCATCAGTGACAAGACAAAATGGATAGGCTAAATTAGGTGCTGAAATAATAGGGCTACTAACAAGCAATTGTTGAATGTTGGTCATGGCAATCGTATGATCCTCTGTCCATACCTTGTCAATATCTGGAGCATTTTTAATAGCATCCAATGGTGCGGTTAAGGTAGACAAACGAGGTAGATTGCCTCTAAAGTAATTAATCAATCCTAACCGAGATTGAAGTTCTTTACTATTAGCGACCTTTGGATCCCAATCCAAAACATTGCTTACTTTACGAGAATCAAGGGCCAACCCCTTCTCGGATAGGCAAAAGCCTAATATATTGATGCTACGCTGAGCAAAATGAGTCTTTGCATGATTTATCTTGAGATTAGCCTTTGTTAAACGATCAATAACTATTTTGACGTATTTTAAATGTGTTTCCATGTCTGCTTCTGTGTGCACCGTGATATCGTCTATGAAATTGGTGGTGACAGAGCTTAGATCAGAGAACAAATTAGTCAGGTGCCTTTGCACAAACGAGCTAATTGGTAATAATCCCATGGGGCAGTTCCTGAAGCTCCATTGCAGGCCAGTTGTTGGATCAATAAATGAAACATATTTGCGAGATGCGCTTTCTAGCCTAAAACTATGGAAACATTGTGAAAGATCCAATACCGAAAATATAGCGTGTTCTGACATCTTTCTATGTAATGTGCTAATCAAAGGTAGTGGGAATCGATCTGATTTGTCTGGATCTAATGCAGCATTGACAGCTCTGCAATCCACAACTACTCTATAAACACCAGGAGCATACTCACCAGTGCTAGTCTTTTTACGTACACAAAATATAGGTGAATTGTATGGCGTTCCAGGTGGTGCTGGTTGAATGACACCATTCCTAATCCATGTGGCCATTTGTTCCTTAATAGCTGGTAAAAACCTTTCTTCCAGGGGCCATTGAGGTTTATACATTTTATTCTCATGATGTTTCAATATATGCAACTCTAGGGTACTACCTGGTATATTGCAATATGCTTTTGGATCAATGTTTTTGTTAGCCTTAATGTACGGTTCAATTTCTTTCGTGAAATGAGCTCTCTCTGCCTCTGTACCATAAGGAGAATCATTCGGAGTGTAGGGATTTGGATCAATTGCGGGAATCTCAGGGTTATTATCATCATCCCAATCCATAGCCATGTTGGAGATTGTAATACCAATTTGCATGATCAAATCCATACCAATTACTACATCAATGTCACTAAAGATATCAAAAATCTCCAATTTAGAGTAACATTGGCGAGAATTATATATAATCTTAATGTCCTCTTCTGTAGAACCAATTCTATCAATTACAGTGTCTTTTTTACAAGTTTTAATGGTGCCTTTAATGTCTTTATTTATTTTCACTTCTAATATTTTGGCTAACTTGGGGGAGATACAACTAAATGAGGAGCCTGTGTTCAGAAGAAAGTAGGTTCGTACCTTGATGTCGTTGTTCTCTAAAGTAATTGGCAAAATAATAGAGTTTTTGTTTAGTAAATTGCGAGGTGGTTCATTCATGTATTGATACTCACAATCTTTAATGTTCATGGCTGCGAAGGTCATGTTCTGCTCGTCGGATTCCGTATCCGTATCCATATTGTCATCAGAGTTGTAACCAGCCTGCTGATTGGGCACAGGGACGATCGTCTTTTTGACAACCTTGTTTCGAAATCTTGGTTGATTGTTTTTCATCTTACAAACAGCTCTATGCGCTGGAGTCCATCCTGGTTCCTTGCAATCGTGACATATACGAGTGTTGACCTCACCAAACTTTCTTTGTGCAGCATCAATACGTTTTTTCATGTTGTCTGATGCCTTGCAGTCCTTGGTACGATGATTGTGGGCATTGGGATGGTAAATACATCGTTTGGTTGAGTGACTGGTGACCTTGGTGCCACTATTGTTAATTAAAATTGAGGCTGAGGATGTTACTGAGGTTGCTTTCTCTCGTTCTCTTTCCCACTTGTCCTTAAAGAGTGCGTTGTAAATAGCCGTGATCTTGTTGACCGCCAAATCCACAGTGATCTCCTCCTTGTCAGAATTGGTGTTGAGGGAGAACTTGGTGTAGTTCGCCAATTCCTCTGGAAGGGCCTTGATCAAGTAGCGAACGATACAATCCTCATCCTGGATTTCAGCCTGATTGCGCAATTGTTGGAACTTGTCAACAAATTGATTGAACGCCTCTCCCTGTTGATACACTAGTCGTTCCAGCTGCTCTCTTGCTTCATCTCTCATATCAATGCTTGATCGACCATACTTGTTGATAACTGCTGTACGGAATTCGGACCAAGTTAAGCGACCTTGTTTAGCAACCATGCTTGTATACCAACGAGCCATTCCAGTTGACAATTTGGCTGGCACAATTCTTTCCCAATTGTCATGGATTGATAGACGATGAGCTTGCAAAACCAGTTCGAAATGATCAAGACAATCATTTGGTGTTGCGAATACAGCCCTACGCTTGTTGAAGAAGTGTCCACGCCATTGGAAGTAGGGTGTTTCATTTGGTACCAAGGTACTCTCTGTCTTGCCAAATACCAGTTCATAGGTGCGTTCAGCCATCTCAAGTTGATTGCGCAAGACACCAAGATTTGCAGGTATGATTGATCCTTGTGGGCATCCAATGCTTTGAATAGTTGTTTTGAATACCATCAGCCTCAGCCGTTCAATTTCATTCATCAAGGTCAATCTTTCATCACTTGAGATTGGGGTGGCAAATCCTATATCCACATGATTGGTAAGTACATCATTATTCCCTCTACTAACATTTTCAATATTGTAGTTACCTTGAGGTACTGGAATATGATAAAAGGTGGCAGATGCATTGTCAACGTTCGCATCACCTACAGAAGCAGCAGTATTCCCATGAATGTTACTACTAGCCCTGACACTGCTTGCTTGACTCCCATGAACCTCAGCAAGTACAGCAAAATTACCAGATGCATCACCATTGATAGCATCGGTTGAAACAGACGTTCTAGGTATATCCCCATGGATATTACCAACGCTGGAAGAACTAGCAGATGAATCACCATTGATTGCATCTTGACTAGTAGTGACGATAGGATCATCAATCTCCATCAGAGTGGCAGCAGTTGAGCCTTGAGCATCAGTACCAACAGGAGCAGCAGAAACAACCAGATCGGCAGCAGTGAGAGCTTGATCAGTGGACGTTGGACCAGCAGTGGCAACAGTAGCCTCACCAGTAGTAGCAGTTACACCAGAAGCTTCTTGATTGATGACCTTATGGTTGGATTTCTTGGGTGACATAGTAAGTAAGACTTGACAGCAATAAGAGATCCAGAGTAGATAGAGTTGTAATAAACGAGATTTGTTGAATACAGATTAAAAAATGATTTATCAGAAATAAATTATTTATAAAAAGAGTATGAAATTAATCAGGTAAAGAATATCGTTTATTACATTGGAAATAAGAGGGTTTATATACTATTCGAATTGAGGGATTTGATGTGAGGATAAGGTATTAGATGGGTTGATTTGGGTGATAGGATAATAGATCCAATCTATTATCCTGAACATGCCATTATTCGGATCGTAACTGAATCCTGTTTCATGTCAAAGTTTATGATCTGATGTGACCGGTGCTTGAACTGCTTGTTTCTACGCATTTGGAGATCCGGTTTAGGAAATGATACATCAGCATGATTTAATGTAACTTTGATGGTTTAAAGTGTGATGTTTGTTATTGAAGTATGGAATCCTTTATCTGGGATATTGTGCAACTATGGCAGCAGGGCATAGTTGTCGTATTTGAATATGCTTGTTATTGATTTGATTTTATTTGGATAAAGATAGCATCTCTTATTACGACCATCAAGGGTGTGATTGAATACATTGTGATCAGGAGTGATTCATTCACACGATGTGCGATATAAGCGTGTATCTTTACTTTAGTAATTTTAAATGGTTTTTTTGATGTACATTTGAGCGCTTTCATTAATAAATCCAAATAGCATGAATTTGAATGAGTGCTATTTTATGAACTTTGGTTTTCAATTAAGTTACGTTTGGGTGGCTATTTCATTACATATACCATCTCAACGTGGTAGTCATTTACCAGGAATCTATCATATTTAAGCTAGTTAGATGCTCTGTAATAAACAAGCTCTTTGCTTTCGTTTCAAGTACAGTTGACAACTGATTATTATCATCGACTTTATTGTTACTGTAAAATTTGGGGCTTTATAGACTAAAATTCACGGAAAAAAAGAATAAAAAAACCAGTAAAGTCAACTTGATAAAGGTATGTTTTTGTGGAATTTGAGGCTTTACAGACTAAAATTCACGAAAAAAAAAGAATAAAAAAACAGTAATGTCAACTTGATAAAGGTATATTTTATTATCAAACTGACAGGTGTAAAGTAAAACTGAAGTCTCTCTACTGGCCAGGTAGATGATCCTTCTTATATACTATAACAATGGATAAAAGTTCTATTAATTAGATTGACAAATAAGTCAACTCAGATCAACTAATGTCTAATCATGCTAAAAGAAAACTCCAGCAAGCTAATCATGATTTAGCTCTGTCTGGATGAATAATTAGACTCTCATCCGAAGTACCCTGATCTATCCTTTCTATAAGGATAATTAATATCGATCTAGTAGCATGTATCCGATAGGTACAGTCTTCTTAGTCTATATTAATAGTACATATCTGAGTGTATATCGCTAAGCATACATCTTTAGCATGTATCTGGATATATGGCATGTCTATAGCATATCGTATGCATGTCTATAGCATGTCTCATATATAGTACAAGTCTGTAGTACATAACGTATCTGTAGCTAGTATCACGGATATAAGCATATCATGTGTCTTATAGCGTGGATCATGAAGTGCACATCTGAAGCAACAAGCTCATATTGCATTAATCTTGGTGCCTATCCAGATATGGTAAACATCCGTAGTCAATGTCGGAATACAAATATAAGTCTATAGTGCCATCCATGTCCGTGGTGCCATCTATAGCCTATATCTTATATAGTATGTGTTAAGCACAAAGAATAAAAGGATTATTATTTGTAGCTTATAAAAAATGTTCGATATTATAAAAACAAGAAAAGACTTATTTGAATAAGATCAGACACAAAAACTAAAGATTTATTGATAAAGACAAGAGTTATTCTATTTATACTAAGTTCTGAATGCCAAAGTAGCAATTTATCTTGTACAACGCTTATCACATCTGGTGAACCTCAGTATTTAGATAGCTGAGATGCACTTCACTTATCATAGCTTGTCCATGTTGTTGCACAACACAGACATATCTACCCATCAAGAATACCTTAATCTTTATAGACAGTTGTAGCCCTTCTGGCACAACATTGCCCCCCCAGATTCAGGTACTTCTTGTGGACATTTCGTAATCCCAGATTACAAAACATCATGACAATATAGCACATAAAGCACTTTCCAATAAATAATTACCAAATGACACTGCATCCGAGATCAGTCAGTAAAAACCTTGTGTAAAAACCTTTCATAGGACAAAAATGTAAGGAAAAGACTTGATCCCATCATGCTAGTAGCCATTTAAGACCTGTTTGATCTACCACTCTGACCAATTTCGCGAGTAGTAGTAGTTCGCCAGTTAACTGTTTGAGGAGCTAACCTACGTTTACCAGCAGCCTTTGCACCTTCTCTTCGAGCCCAATACAACTCAATGTGTTTGGCCGAATCAAAGTTTTTCACAGGCTCCCAAGTATCTTCACTAGGATCATCGAACCCTTTCCATTTTACCTTATACTCATAGTTACCAGGAGATCCTCTATGATCAATCACAGCTTGAATTTCGTAATGCTCTGCAGAGAATTCATCAATTGTGATTGATTGAGGATTCGCAGCGACTTGGTACTTGATATGATGGGTAGGCACATCTCGACTAAGGAGTGCACCCGTCTTGTCAGCCAGCACATAGGAACCTTTATCGGTTATACTATGAATCAAATAAGGTCCTTCATACCGTTCATCTAACTTATTTTGACGATGAACATTTTTAATCATAACTTTACTACCAATAGGATAGGGTTCGGCAATGACCTTATGTTTCTTCGCAAAGTTAGCATGATCAGCATTTTGTGTATCCACAATACGCTTAGAAATAGCCGGGATAAGAACATCTTGTACAAAACGGTATCGTTTGTCAATGAGTCTGTTATCAGCTTTCTCCAAACGTTTGGAATAGTCCACCTTTGAGTAATCAGCCAGACCATTTGGTTGACGATTAAACAAAAGTGTATACGGACGAGATTTATGTAGCCGAGCATACTTGACATTGATGCAGTAATTCACCCACGGAATGAAGTGCTCCCATTGATCCCTCTTACCTTTTAACAACTTGATAGTCGTTAACTTACATATTTTGATAAATGACTCAGAAACCGAGTTACCCAATGGATTGTACTCTAATGACAGGCGATGGTCTATCCCACTGATGTCCATCATAGCACGGACCACCTCATTTATCCATTCCAGGCCTCTGTCTGAAGTCAACTTGATTGGCCATCCAAAAAGTGAGAAAACTTGAAGCATTTCCCTGGCAATTGTCGTAGCCTTCTTGTCTGGAATGCATCTTATCACAGTAAATCTCGTAAAGTAATCAGTAAGGACAAATAGAAAGTTGCTGCCGAAAGAGCTAGTAACACCCATATCACCGAGATCCATGCACCAATGATCCAAAGGTTGGGCTGCATTGACACTACGGAAAGGATGATATCCCTCTCTAGCGATATTGTACCTGTTACACTCGTCACAATCAGCTAATATTCTTTCTATGTCTTTCCGAATGTTCACCCAGTGAAACCCTTCATGATGAATTGCAGTTTCAACATGTTTGATCCCAAAATGTCCAACCAGATGCTGAGCAATGATCATATTGTCTCTTTCATTAGCAGGAGGAGTGATATAGTCAGCAAACCTAAGCGTACGCAATATGAATTCCTTTTGCTTTTGCGAGACAGCTGTGGTGGTGCCATCTTTGATAAGAGTAGCGTTTACCGCAGTGCGTGCATGGTTGCTAAAAGAATTAGATCGTAACGCCTTAGTTGTCTTGACCAAAGTACGTTTCATTGGAGGCGAAGGTGTGACAACCTTGAGTTTGTTTTTGGAACCCTTTTTCTTTCTCTTTACACTTTCACCACCATCAGCATAGTACCTGCCCCCCAGAAGATGTCGTGCTGAAGCATCAGCATCCGAATCTTCGTAAAGTCGAGATAAAGCATCAGGAATTACGTTAAGGACACCGGGCAAATGCACAATATCGAAAGTATAAGAAAAAATGGTCTCCCACCATCCAAGCATGAGTGCATTGGGGACTTCCTGTGTATTCAAGTAGATCAGACTCTTATGGTCCGTATGTAAGGTAAACTCTCGCATATACAGAAAACGATGAAACTTAACCAAGGCATAGCAAATCCCTAGCAATTCCCTTTTCGTAGTACTGTAGTTACGCTCAGAAACAGACAATTTACGAGATACGAGACCTACATATCGAATCTCATCGTTGACCACTTGATATAAAACCGCGCCAAGAGCAGTTAAACTAGCATCAGTAGCCAAGTGAAATCGAATCGAAAAATCAGGAGGTGACAGCACAAGTGCCATCGTAAGTGCATCCTTCAAGTCGGCAATCGCTTTTGTATGAGACTCATTCCAAACATCTGTTAGATCCTTGTACTGTTTCAAGCTATCAAGATCTCGAGTCAGACGAGAATAACATGGAATGGCAGCACGAAAGTACGACATTAAACCCAAGAAAGATGCCAATTGACGACCAGTGGTAATAGTCGGCCAATCTGCAATGTTGGTAAGTTTTCTACCGTCAGGCAGTAATTTACCATTAATAACACTCCATCCCAAGAGATAAATACTACGCTGAGCGAAGACGACTTTCTCAGGATTGAGCACCAAATTAGCATCGGTTAAACGACGAATTACCTCAGCAACCAACGCATAGTGATCTTGTAGGCTCCCATTACTACTGCATAAGATGTCATCTACATAGCAGGAAACCGAGTGATCACCATCAGTAGGAAACGAAGTAGAACTAGAGCTTGTATTCAAATCAGAGAGCAGTGTTTGCAATGTGCGTACAACCACCGATCCGACATGGCGAATTCCATAAGCAGCCTTTTTATGGGTGTATTGGATATTCGTGAAGGGACAAGTAAATGAAACTTTATGAGCTTGCTCTGGATCCAAACCAAAGCTAGTAAAGCAAGCATGGATATCGAGACAAGTATGAATCATT